GCTGCTGCAGGTTGTGGGAATGTGACACCCGGCTCCGGGCAGCAGCCAGCCACCACATCGGTGCGCTGACCAGAGCGAGGCAGGAGCCACACAGCAAGCTCTGCGGTACCTCTGCACTGGGCTAACGCTGCATTATGATTCCTGAGAACGAGCGCAGGGAGCAGCTGCGGAGAGAGAAAAATCCAGGAGGCAAGTTCAGCAGCGCCTGGCAGTGCACGAGTCACTAGAGACGAGATTTCCGTTCATGATAACACACCTTCACCCTGACAACAGTTGAGCATGCCCTCCTCCACCTGAATAAACGTGTGTAGGTGCTGACCTGTGTGTCCTGCAGCAAGTCACGGTGCTGCTTTCCAACTGGCTTTAAGAAGAAGCAGCTCTTACAATAGGGCCTCCTTTGTAAGGGGCCATCCCCTTCTCAGTTTGAGAACCTGAAGAGCACTGCCCCACATCACTCTTCTGTCTAAACATATGCAGGAAGTGGTAAGTCTTTCAGTAAACCACGTAACGTAACAGCAGAACAGGAGAGAGAAGTTTTTTTGGCACACCAGCCTTCTGTCTGTGGTAATAGGAGCATCAGTCTCTCACTTTACTCTTAATTTCTTCCAGTTTCCTTTACTCCTAACACTACAGTTTACAATTTTGGAACTATATTAAGTGACTGGATGGTTTTGACTAGAAAGATGTTCAGGAGGGAAAAAAAAGACATTATTCCTAGCTGGATGGACGAAAGAATCATTGTTCCCAAGGGCACATCAAGAAAGTTCCTAAAGCAGAAAGTGCCATTTATGTGACAAAACCAACATCTGAATCGGTGATATACAATGTAAACAGCTAGAAATTCAGCTTTTAGACAACCTAGAGAGGGGGCAATAGCTCTGTGAGATAAAACGTTTGTTCCTACTCCATCAGTGTTTATGACTACTGCACCAGCATGTTCTTTCTGTTACTTTGACACTAAGAAACCACCTTGATGTCCAGCTAAGCCTGTAGTTGCATTTCTGTGCTTTGTATATATGAGCCATAAGCCTTCTGTAGAACACCACCACTCCTATCATCACTGTGTTTCTAAACAGAGGCAAGACATCTAGCAAGGCTTCCTTTGCCTACGACAGCCTGAAGTTGCAGCCAGCCGAATGTGACACCACTTCCAAAAATACATCCTTTCTTCACAAAAAGGACCACACGCTCCTGTGCTGCACATCTCCCCAGTCACCTTACAGCTAGCACAGCCCTGGCAGCCAAAAGGCATCTGCCAGGGCAAACTAAATATTGCCTCTCAGGGGCTGTTCCACCTTCAAAGCAAAAGCATTATACCAACGTTGCAGCACAGTTCTTTAAGCTTTTGTAACAGCACCTGAAATGCTCTATCTCCCAAAGAGATTGGGTTTATTGTCTTTTCCCACCATGGTGAGTTGCTGTAGCAACTGGCAAGAGGACACGCAATTTAGGCACCACAGGTGAGCCTGGACAGTTTCTACAGGCCATCCATGGTATAGCCCTGCCTGCTTCTTCTACTGCTTTTTATGGGTGCGGTGTCAATCTTCCCAATCTCTTTTGAACCTGCTGGTACCGTCTGCCTCCTGTGGCAATAAATCTCAGAAGCTCACTATCTGCTGTGTGAAATACCATCTTAATATAACTGGTCAATCTGTTTTAAGTGAAGGAGAGGTGTCCGCAATCCAGTATTTACACAATTTATTGAATAGTGGTTCTGCATCTAGAACTTGACTTTCAAGATTTTGTAAACGCTGACCTATTTTCCCCTTAGTCTTCTCGTCTCCAGAAGGAAAAGTCCCAGCATTTTTAGTCTCTCCTCACAAAGTGACTGCTCCATTCCATCGATCACATTAGTTGCCCTTCTTTTAACTCCACTATGGACTCCATGCAGATTTAGAAACTGGAACTGCCCAATATTGAAAATGTAGGTCCCCCAGTTCCACGTAGGAGCAGAGTAGCACCACCTGTCTTGTTCACAGTACCCTTCCATATGATGCCTACCTCGTATTTTGATGCAGCTCCATGCTGGGGTGATGGTTTCAGAAGAATTGTCAAAGATCTCTGCCCTAAGCTGTAACAACTTGCTGAACTATGAGTTCAGCACTATGTGTATTTTGATGAATGATTTACACCACAAATGTATAAATCTGTACTGGAGCTCATCTACCCTTTTTGCCCATGGAAGGATCTCACAAAAGCGAGCTCCTTGCCACTGGACCAATGCTGGACTACTTCAGAAAGCTCACTATCATCTGCAAACTTGGGTGATTTCATTGTGTCTTCCCTTCTCTGAATCACAGCTGAACTTGCTGAATGAAGTCACTCAGGGACTGCCAATACTGAAATTCTTCCTCCTATGGAGAGGAGCCTGTTACATTTTAATCCTTCACTTCCTATCCTTCTCAATTCAGAAAAGGATCCCTTATGTTCCCCTGGAAATGACATGTTTTACATTGTACTCACACATTTCTGCATGTTAGAAAATACTTCAAAAGTTTGTCAAAGGGACACCATAAGCCTATGAGTTCTGTGCAGGGATTGGAAAAGCAACAACAAAAAATTTCTTCCCCTCACCATTGTATTGGGTTTACATAGCAGGGTTTTGGTAGTGGGGGCAGGGGGGCTACAGGGGAGGCTTCTGTGAGAAGCTGCCAGGTCTGACAGAGCCAGCGCCATCTGGCTCTAAGATGGACCCACCGCTGGCCAAGGTGGAGCCCATCAGCAATGGTGCTAGCACATCTGTGATAATGTATTTAAAAAGGGGAAAAAAAACTGCTGCACAACAGCAGCCAGAAGAGAGGAGCAACAATATGCGAGAGAAACAACTCTACAGGCACCGAGGTTGGTGAAGAAGGAGGGGGAGGAGGTGCTCCAGGTGCCAGAGAAGAGATTCCCCTGCAGCCTGTGGTGAAGACCATGGTGCTACAAGGGAAAAGCAGGTGCAGATCCCTCAGGGACAAGGCGCAACGCTCAGCAAGTGAAAGGTTTAGCTTTATGGAAAGCACAGTGTTACCATGGGGGGAGCCCGGGGACACTGGTGCTAAACAAATGAGGAGGAGGTAGAGAAGCCAGGAGTGAAGTTGAGCCCAGGAAGAAGGAAGGGGTAGGTGGTTAAGATTTGTTCTTCTTATTATCCTACTCTGGCGTTAATTGTCAATAAATTAATTTCCCCAAGGCAGTTCTGTTTTGCCCACGACAGTAATTGCTGAGTGATCTCCCTGTCCTTACCTCAACCTACAAGCCTTGGGGGTTCATTTATTGTATTTTCTCCCCCTGTCCAGTTGAGGAGGGGGAGTGATAGTGGCCTTTGGTGGGCACCTGGTGGGTAGCTAAGCTCAACCCACCACAGCTATCTGACTATTACCTAATATGTTACAGTTGCACCACTTCCAAAGGGAAATAAAGACAAAAAAAAGTTTAAAGTCAGACAGTCCATCACTGCATTTGAGCAAATGCAACTTGAAGTATTTTTACTGCAAAACAATAATACAAAATAGTATTTGGAATTACTTTGTTTTAAACACAGCTTTACACAGCTCTGTTCTGTTTAAGACCTGTTTCTTATACACAGGTTTAGGACTCTTAACACAGTTAACAGTAAAGCATTACATTTCTATTGCCATGATCAGTTCAGCTGACACATAGTAAACAATACAGGCCATCCTTTGCTTTTCATGTCTGTAGCTCGTTTTTTATTCTGGCTGATAAAAATGTAAGAGATTGTATAAAAAATTTAAGAGTTAATGCATTACTTACTCAGCAACCAAAGATGATTCAACTTCCTAGTTTCCTAGTTTATCTAAATATATATATATATATATACAAGTCCTGTAACAGAGTTTTAACATACATTTAGCATACCTGCTTTCTGAACACTTTAATTAGTATAATTTCAACCTGCGCTATGAAAATTAACAAGAATTACTTCTTCCTTCCTCCTCCCTAGAGCATGCTTCTATTGTCTAGTAGTATATGCCATCCCAATAATCTATCTTTGCACAATACATGTATTTAATTGTCTTAGCAATGCATCTTCATTCTCTCCGACATCTTATTCTTCCATCTTTGCCCAACAATTTGTGGGGCAAACAGCTCTTACACAATCTTAAACTTACTATTGTCACAGCATATAGCTAGTTCCTCTAACCATGTTTATCAGTGATTAGAAGCTCATAAAAATATTATTCACTGTCATTCCTATATGAACATTTCAAACTGCATTAATTCATGTTCAGATATGCTTATTAATCCAACAGAACTGCATCTCTATACTTTAGTTTTGTAAAATAAGATGCATTTATATTCCATAAAATGTACGCATTCAATCAGATTTACAGATCAGCCAAAGCATGACTTGACTGAAGAAATTCTATAGAATAATGCAGTGTTGATACTACTCAACAATATCTGAGGCTTACAGAGTTAACAGTCACTACAAATCCACTGGTGTTGTATGAACTAGTATTATGGATGTACACATAACATCTCAGTTGACTGGTTTGCCAAGTATGATAGTCTTGGTGTTTTCAATTTGTATCAAACGGAACACAGGCTTTCTATATTATCATGCTGTCATGTGCTGATCTGAAATAAAAAGTACACATTTAACCTGTACTGTCATTTCTGTTTGCTCATGACACCACTGTGTATTAGAAACTAATACCACCATGTCTGCTTTCATTGATGTTTTTCCCCATATTCCTTCTGTTCCTCTTTTTTTTTTTTTTAGCATTATTTTATCATTAGATAACAGTGGCTTCACCTATTATTTCAGAACATCCAGTGTCATGGAAATTAAAGTTACAGCTTATAATGACTTACAGGGACAGGCAAACATGTATAAGGACTGTAGTACCTATATGGGGAGATACAGTTCTATATAATCCTTGCAGTATTTTTGTATAAAAGTATCAGCTTCTGGTTAACTTGAAATGGGATAAGCAGATTCAATTTCCAGTAAAATTACTTACTTCCTTCCTTCAGCTTTTTCAATTCCTGTATTATATCACTATACACACAGGACAGAAGCTCCTCTTGGGATTTTGTGCCATCCAAATAAACTAAGAAAGACAAAAGAAAAACTTTGCATGAGTTCTAAGCCAGTTATATGCAACAGCAATTGGCAGAGTTTTCAGTATTCCTATGAGTGCAGTAAGAAGAGATGAAAAAATAAGAAGCGCTTAAGAACAGTACCTTCCTTTTCTTCATTCATCCTTCCAAATTCACTTACATGTTAAAAAATAACATAATGGAAAATTATGCTAGTTAAGAATTAATTTACAAATTTTTGTGGTATAAAAGACTCCATAAGGGTAGTGGTAATAACATTAGGACAGTTAAGTAATGTAATAATTAATTCGAAAGGCTCTTCTGCAGTGGAAGACCTCAAGTTCTTTCTCAGCTTCAGAGTCTGAGCAAGTCAAGTAAGGGCACTGTGGTTCCCATTCTCACTGCACAGCAAGAGGCGGTGCCCCAGGGTTCACGCTGATGAAGCAGCCATTTGACTTCTCTTTCCTCTGGCCCAGATTCCAGAAGTAGGGAGTCCAAGAGCTGTAGTCCAAGAGTGTGAACATCACACAAGCTCATGGCAGCACCCCATCAGCTGGCTAAGCTTTGATACTTCTCATGCAAGACTGGTGACTGCACTGTGTACAAAAAGCACGTAGGAAGTATCTTCAGTTTATTATAGGACTTCAACCAGGATATTAATTCTGTTCTGAAGAATCCTGCCAGTGCACTATAATCTCACAAGCTTCCTGTTTTTCCATACGCATGTATGCACATACAAACTAGCTTGTTAAATGGACTTAATTGGTAATCAGAACATTCCTATTTTTAACTTCATAATTTTAATTGTTAAAAAAAAACCCAAACCCAAAGCCCAAATGCCACAAAAATATTTGAAGAAAACTCTATTCCAAACAAAAAAACCCTGCAACCCAAAAACGGCACAAGTTCCACATTTAAGCATTTTAAAAGTTTAAAATTAAGGATACCATACCAATGTTACTTGAATTCTCTTCCAATTCGTTTTTATATTTCAGATACATAGGCCACACATGTCCATCGAAGTACCCCGGTGTATCTGCTGGCTGATAGACTCTGGTGCTATACAAAAATATATTTGCTTTCCCATGCAAGTTTTACATTTTTTTTCCCCCTAGTGTCAGCTGGTTTAGTAAAAGCATCTATCCAAAATAAAAACAGGCTGGCAGCCTGCATAACTGTTCAAGCAAAGGAGGCTCCTTTGTTTTAATATAACCTGTGATTCGAGCTCTTGCTAACTTACCTATTTCTGCCAATCAAACCACGTTTAAGATGATGTGAAAGGAGTTTTTTTTTTTAATTGAAAAAGGTATTACATATAAATTAAGCTGTATTTAAACTGTTAACAAATTATTTTCTTTTTTCTTTTTTTTATATTGGGTATATAGATTTCTCAAGTTTTAAATGACTAGCAGTTTTGTCGAGTCGCTTCCAGCCTGCACACTGTTAGTCCAGTAAGAAACCAAGAAATGGAATCAACCAAAGCCAGTTGAATAGAGGATTTCTTCACTCAGCCAGCAGTTTCTGACTTCATTCACATGTACTGCTCCAAGCGCACAGTGTCACTCCAAATGTGGAGGCAAGTCAGACACTGGCTCAATAATGTAAACTGGATATATGGTACAACTTACACACAGTCTAAACAAAGCGTACACCAAAACCACACGTGAACATTGTTACTTTAACAATCATGTAGCTGTATTCAACCAAGGATAAGACTGCTTAATATTTTTTTAACTGTTTCTCATTTTAAACATGGTTTAACTCCAACAGGCATTCAGTGATCTAAGCAATTGATTTGGACAACAGATTCTCTTTTCAGTGTCTGTAAAACATTTAACATTTTAATATCCCTGTGCTCTAACAGAGAAGCCCTCCCTTCCCCGCAAACCCACGCATCTCTGCTTTTTTTTTTTCTTTAATGTTGGTTAAATACCCTCACAGTCTTCCCTGGGAATCACAGAGGACACATGATCTTAATAGTTTATATTTGGCAAGCACTGAAGAAAAGCTAATGCAAAAGAACCACTCCAGGTTAGGGGGTATACTGACCCTCTGTGAGCAATAACTGAATAATCTTACCTCCTTCTCCTTTTGCACTCTTCGTAAGGAAGGGTCAAAAAATATCTTCTATTCCATAGTTCATTAAGCGGCCTAAGATAATAATATATTTAGTTCCCTCTTCCTTTTTAGGGCATCTTTTAATATACCAGGTTACATATTACTGCTTACTCATAATTGTATAGCAGAAAGCCTTCTACAATCAAAATATAAATGTCATCTCTATTTTTCAGATTGTCACATGTATTCTGCGTCTCTTCTGTCACAACACCTGAGCTTGCTGGTCTTTTCATCCAATTGTGAATACTTTTCACCATTTCATCCATATAGAGGGCATCAAGTTCTAGATGAAAACAGAAAGTTAGGCACCCCCTAAAAATAGGGAATTTAGAAATAAAAAAGAATCCTTAAGTACCCCTAGGTTAATCAGTAAGAATCAAAAAATCTACATATAAATCTAAATGAAAAGGAATGGGATTACCCCCAAAAAATTTATTTCACATATATGAGTAGTGCCATGTTTGCAACTGATGATATCCTGACGCTAAACCTTTCCCTAGGATTGGGGTATTTCTGATGAGTGTGATCTCTCTCAACTCTGTGGCACCCAAGAGTGTGAGAACTCACTTCACAGCCTTTCCCTTGACAACAGAAACTACAGGGACTGTTCTCATATTCCGCAAACTTACTTACCCCAAGACCTCTACCCTTCTGTAATTGTTAATGACACGGGTGAAGGCAATGGGTGCTCAAAAATTTTTGCTTTGGGTTTTCATTGGTTTTCAGGTATCTGGAGGGTGTGGATGGATGGATTGAAAGGAGGATGGCATATAAAGCAAAACAACACAACACAGCACCTGTTTTTGTCTGTAGACATGCAAGAACAGATCTAGTAAGTACTGAATGGCGGAGAGAAGGCAGCCTTTGGATAACATAAGAGCAAACACATTGTAGAGGTGCTTTCAAAAGCAGCCTTAAACCCAGATATTTCAGCCAGAATGACCAACTTATCCCTTCAGTTTCACATTTCAGCTTCATGAAGCCGAGAAGTTGAGCCAAAGACTGCATAGCTGATAAAGAGTCAGTCTTCAGATACAATTTAACATTCTGGCCACTGTTCCTAAGTAATACATTTTGTCATTGCCAAGTATCAAGAGAGATTAGCTAATAATCAACTACCTGTTCGCAACTCGGTATGACCAGAACCAAAGCATTAGCCTGAAGTGGATCTGGATCTGTAAGTTTATAAGACTAATCTGGCACATTGAGCCAGCATTAAGCACAAGCTTCAAAACATTTGACAGACATCTGACATGAAATAAAGGTGTCAGGACCTGACCCAAGTTTTGACCGATTTGGAATATGACAATAAAAGAGAAACAAGATATCACAATGGTGATATCCCATGAGTTCATTATCAAAGTGAAAAACTAATTAAAAAACCCCATCTTTACATAGAAAGTGATGAGGTTAAGCTTATGCACATGCTGCAAGCCAAGACTTCCAACTGAACAGTACCATTTGCTACTGTACCAGATGCAACTGTAGAAACAGGAAAAGATTACAAAGAGAAAAGGAAGGTCAAGCACGAGCTTGAGATATTTCCTAGTTCAGCAAGTTTTCTTATTTATCTCAGTGAGGTGAGAGAAACTGAGCAAATGATTGCTCTCACACACCCATCTGTTTACTGCCTTGTTAAGAAGGGAAGAGAGGCAGGTGGTGGAAGGGAAGAAGTGTTGAAGCACAGCACAATAGAGTTTCAGTGCAACGTTCAAAAGTAATGCCTCAAAGTTACTGACCGTCATATAGCTTAAATCCACGTTCATCTGTTTCTACTTCAGACTCTGGCTGAAAGGGAAAAAATACTGAATATTTTCAAGGCTGCATTTATGAACACTTTCACACACATATATACTCTTCAGTTATAAACGTAAGGGTTATATTATACATCTTTGTATCCTGATTAATTAAATTTATCTCCAAAATTAAACTGCTGTAATCACAATTAAAATACAATACAAACACTTTATTTAATCTAGAACTGCAAGTTCTCCAATTCATACCTCTTAAATTAATTAGAGCTTTTCAGAAATAAAAACTGCTTCACCCCCCTTAACTAACAACAAAAAAAGTTGGTTTTCTGCTTTGGTTTGGGACACAAAGAAGTACTATTGCTGTATGGGTGTAGGGTTAGTAAGGCGATATCATTCAACTTCATTAGCACAAAGTATCTTGAAAAATGCATCCAACAGACTCCCATTCCCTTATATTAAAGTGGTATCAAAAAAGACAGTAAAATTTTTGCTGAATATACTCAGTGGTTTTGGCCCCTGAAATGTCAATAACCTCAGTACTCATTTTATTTCTCTTTCTCATGAAGTCACCATTATTTCAAGCAGCATCAATTTAAAAACATTATCAACCGAAGAACTGAAAAGATAAGAAATTATAATAAAATCTACTGAAGCCTACTTTTTACCTATGAGGTCTTTCCATCAATACTGTTACCTTGAAGAAGTCATCTTGAGAGATTATATCACAGTTGGGAAGCATTTTCTTAAGCTTTTCTGCCAGCGTTGTTTTCCCCCCATTTGTTACACTGAGTGAGAAAACAGTAAAAATTGCATCAAGACAAAAAAAACAAAAAAAACCAAAAAAAAACCAAAAAAACCCAAACCAACAACTCTCTTTTGAACATATGTGCAGCACACATTTCTACTTAGTTAGGATAAATCACAAAGACATAATCCGAAAAGCTCTAAAGTTTATTCACATTAAATACTCTCTACATCTAGAAATTTTCTGGCAAGTTCCAACAGTTTTCAGAGAGTAAATCTAGCAGTTTCAAGAAAGAGGTTAGAGAGAGGTGGGACTGGAGATCTCCATCAGAGACAGGAACAATTTCTTAAGAGTTACATGCCATAAAGTGAGACAATTATATGTCGTATTTGTAAACTATTTTCAAAAAACATCCATTCATAAACAGAAATGACATTACTTGATTCTCAAAAGAAGACCAGTCTTGAGCTATAGAGGAAATTTAATCTGCTAATACTTACCCTCCAAGGCCAATAACCAATACTTTCATAGTTTGTTTTCTCCTCAGTTCTTCCTTTTCACTGTCAAAGATAGTAGCCAGTGAAAACTCTTAATTTAGCAACATGGAAAGCAGCTATTAAGAAATATGAACTATACATGAGACTAATCTTCTGTCTTTTTTTTCCTTTTTGGAAGGCTACTCTCAGAACCTCAACTGCTTGTTCTAATGTTAGCAAGAAACTTGCAACATACTTGTCACATCACAAATTTCAATATGTTTTACCTTGGATAGTATCATAATAATTTGGGGGGCACTTTGAGAGAGACTCAGTTCTATCAATATTAACACCACAGAAGTCCCTAACAAAAAGCACAATCATTAACTCAAGCACTGATGGTATAAAAAAAGATGAAGTAAACAGAAGTTGTGGTGACGAAACAAATTAAAACCTTAAAAAAAACCCCCCAGTGATGTGCTGAGGAGAAAGATGTTTTTAAAATTTAATTAAAGCTTATAATAAAGAGGAGGAGTGAGGGGAAGAATGTTAGTTTTCAGCTGAACAAATTCCCTCTAGTTTACCATCCAGTTACCTCTTCCTGCAAAGCCATGGTGTAGCAGAAGGACGGGGCTGCTTCTCTTGGAACTCTACAGAGTTTGTCCAACCAGTTTACTATTTGTCAAATATTGCTTTCCAAGAGCACACACCAATTAATAACTGTTTAACCACCCACAAACACTCTGTTTTTCACCTGCTCTGTCCTCCTACGTCATACTTGAGGAGGTAAGGCCTATGACTCCTAGGACCTGAAAAGACTGAGCGAGTAACACCATGTCCTCTCCCCAACAAACAAGTATCTGCACTGTCCTAGAAAAAAGACTGTTACATGGCACTGGTATGAACACAAAACCACACTATACCTGTTAAAAGTTTTAGACATACACGGTCTAAAATAATAAATTTTTTTTTGCATTTGATGCAATGACTGGAAGTTCACCTGTTCCAGAGGTCTGTGATGTGACCTCTGCACGGTTGCTTTATACTGCTCTACAGTGGTGCTGCATACCTGCAGCAGCTGTCACGGACAAGTTCTGTAAGCTGGCATGCAAGGGGTTTCCAAGAATATGATAAATCTCAAGTTCAGTAATACACTGCATGCTCACGGTATCAGCTATCTATGAAAAGAGTGCAAACAGATGGCATGTCCTCAGGAAGTGATGATACTCAGTCCATTAAAGAAACCTAACAACAACAACAACAGAAAGCCCAAACCCAATTTTTTTTCTAAAAATAATCAGTAATGTTTGTGTTCCAGAGGATTAGTCTTTGTCCCACAAAAATTGCCATGTACCAAACTAAATAACATCTGGACACACACACGCTGAGCTTTGGACTCTAATTTACGTCACTGCCTACAGGAAAGTTAATCCCAACTCAAGGTAAAAAAATCATCAGGATGAAAAACCCACCAACTCTTCCCCCCCCGGAGTCACGTACACCAGACAGCAGGGGCAGATTTGCCACCAGCGCTGCGCTGCCCCTCAGGAATCCCGCGCTGCTCTGCTGGGGCTCAGCCTGGCACCTTCAAACCAACCCCCCCGCAACCCTCCGTGTAACCACAGACCCGCCGCCCCTGTTCGCGACGGCAGAGCGTGACACGGCTCCCGCACACGGCCACGGCCGAACCGCGCTGCCCCCCGGGCACCTCCAGGCCGCGGGAGGAAACGCCCCCGCCTTGGGCACCGGAGGGGAGC